TAAAAGAACACTACTGGATGCCCGGCAAAATTAAATCCCTCCGAAAATATCCCGCCCTAACCTGGCTTCACTTTCTCCCAAACAGATAGCTCGGATATTGTTAACTGAGATCGACATCTGGCGGAGAAAATGAGTCACCCCCTGGAGTATCAGGGGTCCGCCCGCGAGGTGCGCATGCTCAAATGAAGGTCCCCAGACCCGCGTCGCAGGTAGGCTTCCAAGGAAGCCTGAGTTAAAAAAGAGTCAGGCATCCAGAACTGCTTAAAATATACTCTTAGGGAGTCGCTGAGAATCGCATGCGATCTATGCATTTTTACTACTAACCCTTAAATAACGAGAAAATGCAATCTACAGTTTTCTTTCAGTATCTCGGAATTTGAGTGAATACTTCATATTAGAATAACTTAAAAAAATATTGGAAAATAAAACTAACATAACACCGAGCGTAGAGGCTATGGCGGTAACACCGAACTGCGGAGTCTACGGGTTCGAATCCCACCTGGAAATAGATATTTGCTTTAGCGTCGTGACAGGATGGCGTTTTACCCAACCCCCAAGTATCACCTTCAATACCCCACTCCTTCCTACGACTCTCCCGGCCTGAACATTGTATGGATGCGACGGATGAATGTGACTGCCTGCGTGCCAGGCGGACGAATCTCCGTGATGGCCCGACGTGAGCTCCACCTGGCCGCCTCCAAACCTCGCTACCTGCAAAGGGTTCAAGCGCCGCCAAGGGCTTACGAGCTACAAGCGCCAGGAGGAAGTGCTAGGTCGCAATGAGCTTACGAGCAACAACGGAGTTAGGGAATCGAGTGACTTGAGTGTGTAAAACGGCAGTGGTATCAACGGAGGGCAGGGAGCGTCAGCTGTTAACCGAAAGGTTAACTTGACGTAAAACTCCCGATGAGGGATGATCTAAACATACTTCTTCAAGGACTCTTAAAACCTACAAAGTCTATTTAGAAGACTGATATAGTGAAGCGCAGGCCTGTGGCTCTAAATCACATCAAAAATAGTGATACAATTTTTACGAACATTTTCACTTTTCGCAAGCTTATCTCGAAAACTATTCAGACTAGATTAGCATTTATTATTATTATTATTATTATTATTATTATTATTATTATTATTATTATTATTATTATTACTATTATTATTATTATTATTTCTATTCTAATCATCCCTAGTATTGTTGTTATTCTTGTTTGGCCAATTAATTAGATATTTATCTAATCTTTTCTAAATAAACTTACCACGATTACTATCAAAATTGCCAATAGTATAATAGAAAAGGTACTGTTCTGTCAAAAGGATACAGATCTGTCAAAAACAGAAAAAAATAATAAAGAAATGATAAAGAAGTGTTAAAGCATCTGAATGATAAGATGATTCATTGTCTGATAGATTAGGACGCTTTTTTTTTAGAATTTGTGTATGAGTAGAAGCATGGAATGTAACTGGAGTAATTTATAACTGGCTTCAGACCATCAATTGATTCAAAGATTTTTAGTAGCGTGCAAATATATTAAGGTCTATGAAAAATAAGCACTCTTTTTCAACGAAAAGTTTACAAGCAGTTGAAAAAATATAACAATTGATATTTATAAAACCAAATTTCTTCTATTTGTTTTAAATTGTAACAATTGTACGAGTGTAAAAGTAACTACTACCGGTTTTAAACGAAACCGTTCTAATGATTTCTAAGAGCTTCTGTAACATAAAGGCTTAGAGCAGGGTCCAAGTGGGCAAAGTCGAAGTCTGCGGGTCTGGGTTCTGTTTAAATCCCATTTTAAAGGTGATTTTTTCTTCGTTTTTCTGTATAGAAAATTAATGGAAAAGGGAATTTTGTTTGGGAATCGAAACCAAAATAAAGGGATTGGAGTTTTAACATGGTCATTTCGTTGTCTATACGTAATTGTGAAGATATTTTTCCTGGACGCAGCAAAAAGCAGTGAAGATAAAATGCTTGAACATATCATCTATGGGTACCAATTAAGTTAGGTTATAGTAGAACCAAACACAGAACGAGACATTAGAACACAATTTCATGTTTTTTTATACTTGTAATGTGTTTTATTTCTCAATATATAACCACTTGACATTACATTTCAACACATTAGAATGCTCTCAAAACTGTACAAAAGGAACAAATCGCACCAGACGCAGCTCAAACCAGAGAAAGTTTCGAAAAGTGTCGCCAGGCACTTCAAACTGAATGAAATCTGTACCAAAAAATGAAGCGCGTTTTTTCGTACAAATTACATCTGGTCTGGTGTGTCTCGTTTCTGTACCGGCGAAAAATGATGAAGAAAGTTACCATGTACACCGCGCGTATGGCATGGGCTTTTTCACCGTGTGTCTGTGGCGCTTGTGATTACCTCGAGTTTGGCTTACCGGCAAGCCTTATACGAGAGGACCCAAGTTTAACAAGAAGTTTCTGTAATTGTGTCTCCAAAGTTTAAAATGATCACATAAAAAAGTCTTGGAAATGACTGCCCGGGGTTCGCGTTTTTCCAGTCCGTGCCTTCTCCGCACTTCGCCCAGAATCCGTGCACAGTTTCCCACACCCCGCTCCTCAAAGAGCCCTCCTGCTCTCTTACTCTCCTCCCGCTCTCTCACCCCCCTCCTCGCAACGTATCACAACAACTCCCTCACCCCGCAGCTGCCTCTGCGCCCTGAACCCGACTTTCTCTCGCTCTCGCCCCGCGACGACTGGCCGCCACCGCACACAACGCCCTTTGGCACTGCTTCCTACGCCCCCCACCCACCCCCCGCCCTCTTCCACGCACGCCTCCTCGTGTCGGTCCTCTCATGCTACGCCATGCGACATCGCCAGCATAATATCGATGTTTCAAAACTTCGATATTCAAAATTAAACCCTCGATGGTTTCGGTACATCTCCCCTACACCCTCAATGTTCATAATACATCGTCCCAAAACCATCGATGTCGCTTTAACTCTACTTAATAACCTCTGCCATAAACGATGGTTTGGGAGGCAGGGCCAACAAAGTGAAATGGGTATATTAGCAACTGCTCTTTCAAAATAAAGTATCGCACCTCACAGAGGTCGAGTTTATTAATTTGTAATTAAAGTGAAAAAATAATAAGAAAATTGACAACTGATTATCAGAATCAATTTTACAAAAACATTGAGTGAAAATTCTGAGTCTAAGTTATTTTTCACCTTTTGTCATTTTGCACTGAATGAATTTTTCAATTTTCTGATATATTAAATTATTTCAATGTTTTTGTCAATATATTTTTTTTCCACAAAGAAAGAAAACACAACATAGAATACAAATCATCGACGTTAAAAAGTCTCGATTCCAATAAAGCCAAGCAATAAAAACATCGACAAGAATGGAAGAATGGCGCATCGCTTCCTGGTGTCGCGTTTCAAATCCCTACCCCCTCTGCGCTGCGCCTGTACTTGCACAATGGCGCTGGGCAGCCCCGCTTCCGTCCTCGCTCCCTCCTCCTCCTCCTCCTCCGCCCTCCACCCCCTGGCGAACCTC